CTGATGAGCGGTAGAGACTAGAGAGGAGCAGGTTTTCACCCACTGTCTGCCCACATCAGGCTCCATCCCACACTTTCCTCCTCCCTGTCCTTCCTGCCTCCTCCTCTCTTCTCCTTTCCTCCCTTTCCTCCCCTCCCTTTACCTTCCACCCCTACCCCCATCCACCCCAGAGTAGAGGGCAGATGGCTGGAATTTTCATCCTGCCCCTGCCCAGGGCACAAGACTGGGAGAGGGATAGGTCACAGCCGGTGGGCAGGCCGAACCGCCCAAGGAGAGGGAGGAGAGGGAGAGAGCCACCCGCCCGGCTGGCCAGAGTGCGGGAAGGCTGAGCCAGGGCTAGGGTGGCCGGAGAGCTGGGAAAGCCGATTACACGTGGGGTCCGGGACTGCAGTGGCAGTGGCAGTGTTGACAGTGGTGGCTGGTCCTTAGCAAGTGCCAGCTGTGTGCCAGGGAGACAGCCTCTAGTCAGCTTCAGCCTACAGCTGGGATCCTGGGCCCTGCCCAAGGTCACGTGGCCAAAAAGCACAGGCACGTTGGAATCTGTCCCTCTGACTCTGGCTCCGAGGCCCTCTGTGGGCAAAACAGCGGGAGGTGGGAGCAGGACAGGAGCGGGAGGGTGGGGCCGGGACCCGAGGGCCCCCGAGGGCGAGGGCGAGGGGCATGCTGTCTCTGCCTGGGAGGCTCAGCTCGTGCGCACTTGTCCCCGCCAGGGAAGATGCTGATCCTGGGCTCCATGTTCAGCCTGGCCGAGCCCGTGCTCACCATCGCGGCCGCGCTCAGCGTCCAGTCGCCCTTCACACGCAGCGCCCAGAACAGCCCCGAGTGTGCAGCAGCACGGCGGCCGCTGGAGAGTGACCAGGGCGACCCCTTCACGCTCTTCAACATCTTCAACGCCTGGGTGCAGGTGTGGCTGGGGGTGGCCCTCGGACTTTCCACGTAGGGCCAGGGCCTCCAGTGGCTGCGGCTCCTCCTGTCCCTCTCATCCCCACCCCAGGAGGACCCCGAGCCCTCTGTATGTGGGGCCTGCCCAGGGAGGACTGATCTGCCATCGTTCATGCCCTCAGACCTAGGGACAGCACCTGCCTGGGGCTGAGGCCAAGAAGGAGCCTGGAGCTTCTAAAGCACCAATTCAAACCAGTGCTGCCTGGAGGGTGCCCAGGCTCCCAGAAGGTCTTCTGTGTCCAGCACATATTCCCAGGTCTCTGCTCCGGCCCTGGCCCTGTACTCAGCAGTGCTGCAGACTACTGGGGGCCCTGGGCCCTGGCCCTGTACTCGGCAGTGCTGGAGACCACTGGGGGCCCTGGGCCCTAGCCCTGTACTGGGCAGTGGCAGTGTTGACAGTGGTGGCTGGTCCTTAGCAAGTGCCAGCTGTGTGCCAGGGAGACAGCCTCTAGTCAGCTTCAGCCTACAGCTGGGATCCTGGGCCCTGCCCAAGGTCACGTGGCCAAAAAGCACAGGCACGTTGGAATCTGTCCCTCTGACTCTGGCTCCGAGGCCCTCTGTGGGCAAAACAGCGGGAGGTGGGAGCAGGACAGGAGCGGGAGGGTGGGGCCGGGACCCGAGGGCCCCCGAGGGCGAGGGCGAGGGGCATGCTGTCTCTGCCTGGGAGGCTCAGCTCGTGCGCACTTGTCCCCGCCAGGGAAGATGCTGATCCTGGGCTCCATGTTCAGCCTGGCCGAGCCCGTGCTCACCATCGCGGCCGCGCTCAGCGTCCAGTCGCCCTTCACACGCAGCGCCCAGAACAGCCCCGAGTGTGCAGCAGCACGGCGGCCGCTGGAGAGTGACCAGGGCGACCCCTTCACGCTCTTCAACATCTTCAACGCCTGGGTGCAGGTGTGGCTGGGGGTGGCCCTCGGACTTTCCCCGTAGGGCCGGGGCCTCCAGTGGCTGCGGCTCCTCCTGTCCCTCTCATCCCCACCCCAGGAGGACCCCGAGCCCTCTGCATGTGGGGCCTGCCCAGGGAGGACTGATCTGCCATCGTTCATGCCCTCAGACCTAGGGACAGCACCTGCCTGGGGCTGAGGCCAAGAAGGAGCCTGGAGCTTCTAAAGCACCAATTCAAACCAGTGCTGCCTGGAGGGTGCCCAGGCTCCCAGAAGGTCTTCTGTGTCCAGCACATATTCCCAGGTCTCTGCTCCGGCCCTGGCCCTGTACTCAGCAGTGCTGCAGACTACTGGGGGCCCTGGGCCCTGGCCCTGTACTCGGCAGTGCTGGAGACCACTGGGGGCCCTGGGCCCTAGCCCTGTACTCGGCAGTGCGGAGACCACTGGGGGCCCTGGGCCTTCCAAGGACTTGCAGTCCAATGCAGGGAGACAGGGCCATCACTGGGCAGTGACAACCCAGAGAGGGCTGGGTGGATGTCTAAGAGGCTAGGAGAGCCACAGAGGGTGCCCGACCAGGACGGTTTCCTGTAGGAGGGGCTATTGGGGCTGAGACCTGGAGGAAGGAGGAAAGCAGGTATCACCGGGGACTGGGGACAACAGGCCTCCCTCCTGCCTTGTGTCCTCCCAGGCAGTGGTGTTTTGGGCCAGGCTTGGGTGGTCTGGTGGGCAGATTAGCCCCTGCTCCCTGAGCCAGCCAGGCCAACACCCAGGCGTCTGCACCCCATCCAGGTGAAGTCGGAGCGGAGCAGGAACTCCCGCAAGTGGTGCCGTCGCCGAGGCGTGGAGGAACACCGGCTGTACGAGATGGCCAACCTGCGGCGTCAGTTCAAGGTGCGGCTCAGGGCGGGCAGCCCAGGTGCACAGGGCTTCCTGGGGGCGCGTGGAGTCAGCAGCAACTTGCCGTGGCCCCAGGAAGAAGCCCACACTCTGGACCAGGAGTGCTGAGCCAGCAGCACAGGCCACGTGCTAGGGAGTGATTGGGGCCGCATGCCTGGAGCCAGCGCCCCAGCGGTGAGCCCTTACTCCGCCATCCCCACACGGCATGACCTGGCCTGTGGCTGCTTGCTCTGGGCCTCAGCTTCCCCTCTAAAAACAGAGCCCATGTGGAGAGGGCCCTCCTCCTCTCTTGTCCCTCCACCCCTGTCCCCACCCTCAATGCCACAGCTTTCTACAGAGCAGTTACCCATGTCCTGTGCAGAGTTTGTCTTCACTGAATGCCTACAGGCCCCCAGTGGCTCTAGCAGGCAGGTCGCCGAAGGGTCACCTTCTTCCCTTGGCTCAGAGGTGGCGGGGGACTGCCTACCTGCTGGCAGATGTAGGCCCAGCCTAACCAGGCTCAGTCGGGAGCCCACCTGTTCCCACAGGAGCTACTGGTGGACCATGGGCTGCTGGCTGGGGCACAGGCCGCACAGCCGGGGGACAGCTACACGCGGCTGCCGCAACGCCGGGCGCGCCGAGCA